AAATAGCTGATACTGACAGGCCAACACGAGAGGTAGATAGGCCTAAATTTGGATCTTTCAAATCTCCCTTTTTCACTGCAATACCTAAATCCTTGCAATTTGCTGTGGCAGCAGTGGTTGATAGTTCAAGGCAGTGTGTTAATGGAAGTGAGTGTGTTTGCAAAATGGTAGTAAGAATATTCCTGTTCCCAGATCTGCCATGTACACATATCTAAGGATTCAGATGTAACAACTGAGCTGGTCCAGAGCAGGCCTACTTTAGAGAGAGGGAAATACTACTAAATAGAATATTCTACACAAGAAATTCTGACCAATCAGAGAGGCAGAGGCATTTGGTCAAGTTTGCACTATATTGTAAATGTAGCCAACAACAATTCTCATGCAAATGCTTTCTACATGCAAGTACATATACAAGAAAATGGAGCGCTGCATCAAGTGTACCATCTGTGAGATTTATCTAAAGCTGAACACTGACCAAGGTATGCTACTGATTCTTTTTGGGTTTTATTTATTACTGAGGATTTGTGTTGAGACAAACTCAGAGAACATGATATGTAATGAATAAAAGTAATAAATAAATGAAATATGAAAATATGGCTTTAAAATGATGCGAGAGTTGTTTTCATACACAGTGTCCTTACCCACTCACTAAGAGAGGCCTATGAACTCCACGCAGATGGTAATCATAAGAATCTCAAACAGAATTAATACACTACCATCTCTTTTAGTCTTACAAATAATCCTTTTAAGTAGATGTATATGGATTAAAGCCAATTGAATCCCATTCAACATCCAGTATGATATTGTTTAAGTTAGTAAAAAAAGTCCTTTCTGACTTTTTTGGGGGGAGGGAGAGCAAAATGCCAGCAAAATGGTTCAGTTTTTAAAATGCAACTTTATCCAACCAATTTTGAAGCTTCTCTCTCACAAAGTAAACAAACTTTCTTGGTTTTCTTTTGTTTTAAGGTCATGATGTTCTTATTTTCAGCCAACTGAGCACTCTTGGCACATTAACATCCTCTATAATTACCTTTCAGCATCAGCCCAATTCTCTTTTCAGGAAGGATTGTAGGAGATCACTCGCCTGTGCTATGCTGTTTATTTTGAAGAATGTAGTGAGGAAGAATAAAAGCCCTGACATGTCATCAGAATGTAACTCTGTGTTTTGCCAATCAGTTGCTCATCAGGGCAAAAGTAGCAGGAATAGCTACCCTTGTTTGAGTGCCAGGGGTGCTTTAGGTAACTGCTAATGTTAGCAACACTGCTCTTTCCAGGCAAGACTTTTTTGTAGTTCAATCAAAGAGGAGGGAAAATCAAAGTGATTTTCTGCAGTAGTCTAATATTACCTTAATATTACAAGCTGACACTTGCCCAGTCCCTTTTTAAGTGATAGTGAACTTCCTACAGACATTTCAGAAGGAGAGATGGGAGTGTCAGGTAAGAGCCATATTATTTATTCATATGTACATTTACATCCAGGCCTTCAGCAAAATCTTTTTCAGATCATATTGAGCATAACAAAAAGATCTGAATGTACTGTACTTTACTTGTTTCAATTCACCATTGTACAGAAACAATGTCCTATTCCATCATAAAGCTAAGCAGTTTTTGAGATCCCAAATAAGCATTAATATTAACCTCTATGAAATCTTAACCTGGCATCCCATCATCCTCTATAAATCAGAATTCCTTATAGTAACAAAATGGGCTTAATCTATTTTCTGTGAATCGACCTTTTACACATATTTTATAGAGACAACTTAAATGTTGCAAGCCAACATTTTTTGCATCTTATAGTTAAATGTGGGCCTACAAGGATTTAAATTATCAAGACCAATATTTCCCAACCTTGGGTCTCCAGCTGTTTTTGGACTACAATTCCCATCATGATCTGACCATTTGTCTTGCTAGCTAGGGATGTTGGGAGTTGTAGTGCAAAAACAGCTGGAGACCCAAGGTTGGGAAATACTGATCTAGACACTTTTCAGATATTGCTTTTTTAAAAAGACAACATACTCTTCAAAACGTGTTTTTGGAGTGCATATCGCATTATCAGTAGAATTAAATGTGTTGATTTGGGCCTTCTTATTTAATTATGACATTGATTAGCACTCAGGCTTGGCAGTTTTTTACTTCTGCTATTCTGAGCAAGCAGTTGCTTCAGCTCAAACATATTGCGACTGCTTAAAAAGAAATGCATTCTTCCTTCACCAACCTAACAACACAATGCTTTCCAAAGAAACAAGCTTCAACCATGCTTCATAAAATCCACATCAACTATATTACCAACATAAAACCTGAACCTTGGGGGTTTGTATATCTAAAACAAATGACCCCAGTGATTACTGTCTATTTTATTTGTGCCTCCCATATGCTCTCCCACTTCTTTCAGTTATTGAGAGATAACATGCATTCTAAGATTCTAGATGAGTACACAGTTAAGAAGTTAATAGGATGCCCAAATAATTCTGACATTTTAACCAACAGAATTGTTCCAAATTGCATCCTCCCAATTTTTTTCCAAGGTCCCCACCCAACAAGATGTATGTGTTTCTTGTTAATGAACGAAGTTTCTCTTCTTAATTCTTGCCTTTTGTTTAGGCAATTTTATTTAGCCTTTTATTTAGTTCCATCCACAACAATTGTAGCAATCCGTATATGGGTTTCAGTGAGATAGATTACTCTGACAAAGATGCACATACACATACAAACATACAAGGGATGTGGTGGATGAAAATAACATGTTGTGTTTGTACCTTAAAAAACCATGAAACATGGTTTCATGTGGCTCTGGACCCAGTGGTTCTGGACAAGCCACTATTTCACAGAATGGATGACCAACTATAAAGCACACTGCATGCTGAAAAGACCTTAAGAAATGATTAAAATACAATCTCTCTCCAATGCAAATTTTATCAAAAACAATCTGACCCAAAGAACTGATCTTGAAGGCATATGGTCTAGTTCTACTGATGAATCAATAAGGTCTAGCCTTGGATGTGGTATTCTTCAGTTATAGCAGTTATAGCAGAGTGCGAAATTGATCAATAAATATGTTGTTTGCAGTTAAGTCATTTTTAGGACATGGAATCTTCCCAGCTGAAGAACAATATGAATTTGCAAATTTGCACCCATCTATTTCTTGAACCTTAGCAACACCTTGCTCCACAAACTACCCCGCTAAGCAGATGTGAATGCTTAGGCTACTGTCTTCCATTGCCTCTTCTCTTAGCTCTAACTGTTGTTCTGCAGAATATCCTCAGGGCAGTACTAAATTACTAAATACAATTGATCTGAAGTCTACCCAGAGATAGCAAAAAAAGAAAAGAAAACAGCATTTTCACTTAAGATAATAGCATCCAGTGACTTACATTCCTAAGGACATGAGATACAAAATAATTATGTGAGATACTGTCCTCAGTATCCCTAATTATCATTGGCTTGAAAATGTGCAACAGTTTGCTCTTAGGCATTTTATAAACCTGCATTGTTGATGTTGCTTTTAAAAAAAGATGCTGCAGGTCTTAATTCTAAACGTGTTTGATGGAAGGGAAGCAGGGCAGGAAAATGGCTTGTGCAGCTAATTTGCATATCACTGCCTGTGCTCAGCTGAGGGGGGGGGGGGAGATGAGAACAGAGAATTGAAGAAGTCACATCCAAAATGTCAAGCTGTGCTTGAAGAATGATAGAAGACAGACTCACTCTCTTTCTGCCTTGCTTTGACATAGAGCGAAATTAACAAACTTAGCCATTTCAGTAGAACTCTATCACCCCCTGCTGGACAGAATAATTCAGTAAAAAGAGCAACCTAGAAAATGCAAGTCCAGAAGTAATCCCAGTTGGTGAAATTCCACCCCCCCCCCTTCTTAGATATGCTTTATAAATAAAGTGTATGGCATGCATCTGTCCAGCTTTTCCCCAGCATGCACACACACACACAAATATATATATGAACTTCCATGTAGCTAGCTGCCATAATACCTATAAATCCTTTCCCAGGAAGGGCAAAACAAGCTCCTCCAGCAATTTAACTGACTCTTTAAGTCATGCCAAAAACTTGTCTAAACAGTTTGAAACGCTGCAATTAATTTGCACAAAGGGGTTCTGTTAGTGCGTCCCATTCATACAGTGCAATGTTCCTTCTGCCTGTCCAAAAGTAGTGGAATCCTGAAGTAACCTAGGAGTAAGAAGCACACAACAGGCACAGACCAGCTTCAAGCGAAGCACTGCTAAAATGTACGTTTAAACACACAAACATATATCCGAAAACCAAAAGCGCCGAGGCGCAGCTTCTGCCTTTCCCTTCTTATTGCAATGCAACTGCCATTCAGTTCTAAGGATGTATACATGCCATGCACCACCTTGTATCAGAACGGCTGCGTGCATACCTACACAGATATGCCACACACAACACAGCACCCAGTGTCTGCTGTTGGCAAATTTAATCCAGGAAAGCTCTCCTTGCAGAACCACAAGGAGACAGTTTTTTCCTCTTGTGGGGGTGGGGGGGGACCTCCAGATTTCCTCACTGGCAAGGACTCCCAACCCCTTTCAAATTCATTCAAATTGGGTAAATCCAGTTTAATTAGTATGTGAAGGAAGGCTTTACATTCAATCCCATTCCTTTTACTGCAGTACCAGGAGAGGGGAGGGAGACAGAAAAAAATCAAAATCAGCTGTGAAGAAACAAGGACAATCATTGTTCCGAATGATCAGAGAAAGATTAGCCCCCAAGAAAACTGCAGTTAGCATGCTCGTTTTCCATCGTATATCACAGACGTATATATCAACGGGGAGATCTTCCTCGGTTTAAGAAGGTGACCAATGCAAAAGGCAAAATGATACTTCAAGTGTCAGGTTGCTGCTGCTACTGGCGATAGGAGTGTGAAGGTGGGGGGGGCGTTATTTTAATTGCATTATAAGCATCACGAAGAGATGGAGGAAGATTGAGGGGCTCATGGAAGGGAAGGAAGGGAAGCGAGGGGGAATCGTTCTCCTACCTTGCCCGCTACTGAGGAACAATCCGAGCAGGTAAAGAGTCAGGCGGTTCATTTTCAGGAGCTCCCGTTGGTGGACAGTTCCCAAGTTAAGAGGCGCCGAGCGGAGGCGAAGCCAGCAGTCTCGCTCCTACTTTGCCGCCGCCTCTGCTGCTACTGCGTCGCTCTCCTCGCGCTCAAGTCTCCTCACCCCTTCAGTCAAAGGCGCGCGCCCGCCGCGCGCCCGCTCGCACATAGACGCGCGCCGCGAGAGCAAACTCCAGCCCCGAAGCCTCCTCGCGAGCGCCGTTCGCCGAGTGACTGCAAGCGCCTCTTTGCGCCTCGCTATATCAAGGAGGCGGCGGCGGTAGCAGCAGAGGAGGAGCCGTTACACACACACACACACGAAGGAAGGAATGGGAAGTATCCCTCCGCCGGCACACATGCACGGCTTGATTTGAAACGCACACACATACACACACACACAAACGGGAGCCGGTCCAGCTCGACGAGCGGTAAAGAGCGAGGAAGGGGGAAGAGAGAGAGAGATTCTTCCGCGCCTTTTTGGCGCTCAGGCGCTGCTTCTTACAACATTCCGCGCCTTTCCCGCCCGGGCGGAATGCCGCCCAAGGGGAAGCGGCTCTGCTGGCTGGCTGCGAGCCGCTTTTCGAGGAGAAGAGGAAAGGGAGCTGCCCCCCGGAGCTGTGGGGAAGCGCGAAAGGGCAAAAGGCATGTGGCGAGGCAGAACAGGAAAGAGAGAGGGGGGAAAAAGTTTGCAGGAGCTGAAAGGCGACGGATATGCAGATGTGGAGGGGCTGCGTGGGCTCACATGCCTGTGCAGTGCGACAGGTTGCACCGAGGTGCGGGGAAGGAGGGAGACGAGTCGCGAAGGGAAGGCTGCTGCTGCTGGAGGAGTCTGTGGTCAGAAAGGTTTCTACAGTGACAAAAATCTGCCTGCTAGGTGCTGCAAGCGGGGTGGGCTGCGGTGGGTGAGGCTCCAGAACAACGCGGGGAGTGGCTGTCTGTAAAGACATGTCTGGATCTGCGAGGGGAGGCGGTTTTCTTTTCTTTTTCCCTTGCTTTTTTAATGAGGAGGAAAACAAAATGGCTGTAAGGAGAAAAGAGAAAACAAATCGGGCATCTGGAAAGGCCACCTGAGACCGACGTGGGGGTGAATGGCTTGAGGCTATGCCGTCCAAAACGGGAATGCCCAAAGTTGAGGTGAAATTTCCATGGGGAATATAGGACATAACAGGAGAGCAGGTGAAAGGGCAGAGAGAGAGAACCACACCATCTATGGGTGATGAGGATTTAAAAGGCGCTGAAATAATATGCATGGTTGAAAAGGCAAGGAATGACTAAGTGTGGGTCGACACTCCAGAAACAAAGATTCTCTCTCCAAACCAGCAAGTTTGTATGGAGAAGGAGCTACGCAACCAGTGCAGGTGCAGATTGGCATCTGGATTGTTACTTACTGCATTTATACCCCTGTCATTTCTCCAGTGCACTCAAGGCAGCGTACCTAGTTCTCTCCCCAAATGCATCTTCACAAGAACCCTGCAAAGTCCGTGCTAGATTAAGAGATAATGATTGCCCCAAATCACTCCCCTTCATGCCGAGTTGGGATTGAACCTGAATCTTTCCAGTCTCCAACACTGTAATAATGATGCACACCTGGCTTCCAATGTTCACCTGCATTGTGCTTCTTAGGGCACCCCAATGTAGCAGTTTGACCAATTTAAAGCGGATGAATATGTTCATACCCTTATGAGGCCATTGACTGGGTGCAGCTAGAGCTGAATTGACTCCATATCTTTGGGCCAGTGCTGGTTTATACAGTGGTACCTCTGGTTACGTACTTAATTCGTTCCGGAAGTCCGTTCTTTAACCTGAAACTGTTCTTAACCTGAAGCACCACGTTAGCTAATGGGGCCTCCCACTGCCTGCCGCACCGCCACTGCATGATTTCTGTTCTCATCCTGAAGCAAAGTTCTTAACCTGAGGTACTATTTCTGGGTTAGTGGAGTCTGTAACCTGAAGCGTATGTAACCTGAAGCATATGTAACTCGAGGTACCACTGTATCTAAAATTAAAAATCAGGAACATGAAGTTTGTAATCAATCTCACGAAAAACCATCTGAAAGTGTTCAAAATTTTGTGTAAGCCAAGTGCTTGCTTCTCTATTCATATTATCTAGAAAGCTGTCCTTTGGGATGCACACTGGGTTTGATCCAGGAACTGTCATTCTTAAAGTAGACTCATTGAAATCAATGGTTACTAAGTCAATCATGGGCCTACTCTGGCTATATTCACACATCTGAATTGCTAGAAATTTCTGAGAACAGCATGATTAAAAGAGGGGTATGAAATGCACCTCTCCACTCTAGCTACTAAGATTGAATTTGGTATATATGGAGTTCTTTTTAGACTAGGGAAATCTGAAAATCATACATCAAATTGTCAGATCTCATGAAATATGCCGTCAAATTCCAACATGAAACAGTGAAACAGTGAAACAAAGGCTGTGTTAGGCTATTGGACTTCCAGTGCCACTTTGGAACATAGAAATATGCCTTATACTGAGTCAGACTCATTGATCCTTCTACATCAATACTGCTTACACTGGCTGTCAGTGGCAGCAGCTCTTTGGGGTTTCAGACAGGTGTCTCTCCCAGCCCTAAAGGGGGTTGAACCTGGGGTTCTCTGCATGAGAAACATGTCTCCTATTACTCAGACAAGGCTCTCCCACAGTTAAATCAAGTAATCTTTAATTCAAGTAAAAGTGATATGAATTAACTTTCAAAGATTTTCAGTAGCAGCTCAACACATATATCTATGCTTTCAAAATGCAGTCTGAATTTACTAGCATATTGTGTAAGCGTGTGGGGGGGAGATTGAGTGTTCATCCGTCTACACACTTGTCAGCGTGCCATCTGTATTCTCTAAGAACAAAAAAAATCATGTTTATATGATGACAGTTAAGGCTTGAAGGGAGGAAGATTAAAATAATAATATATCCAAGAAAATATAATAACTTTTGTGCTAGGCATTGCTCTCGATTTCCAGCTTGGACCTGTTATTTCCTAGGTACCAGGCAGAATGGAAAGAAACATGTGGATTTGCAATTATATCAAACGGAGGGGAAGACACAATGCCAATCTCATGAAGGCATATGGAATAGCACGAGCACTAGGATGGGAGTTTAATTACATGGGGAGTCTATAGGGACAAGGGGATGAAAAGGATGAGAAGGAGGAGAAAGGGGGGGAATTATGTAGGAAGTATAAAAGGAAGTACTAATTAAAAGAAGGTTTGTGATAAAGGGGCAAATATAGAGATAGTGGTGCAGTGATTATGCAGACCTGGCAGAAGATGAGTAAAATCTTCTGTGTGTTGTTATTATAAGAAGGCTTTAGAGACTGTGGCATGGACTATTTGCTACATAACCAAACAATGGCTTAACATGGTGGCAGCAGGACCAAGGAAGGAACAGAGGAGCTACAATTTTCACTATATGTAAAAATGTACATTACTTGTCCATGGTTAGCTATGCATGAGTGAGAGCACTGGATAACTACTTTAAGGCTCAAGATAGCATAACAAGGAGAGCCATGATGTTATTTCATATGATGCAAAATATTGTTTTTGTCTTTTTTTTTTAACTGTAAAGCTTTATCATTGAAACCATATTTCATCTTGATCTACAAAAAAAATGTACATCCTCATACGCCAAGGTGATGTGAAATTCTCATATTCCAAATTAACCTTGTTTGGGCATTCCGTTGCATGTAATTAATATTGTGTGAACCAGGAGAGGAGGACTGTGGTCTTCCCCCCATCTTCCCCACCATATGCCACTTGCTTAGATAGCTTAATAAGATGTGAGTAGACAGAAACCTGTAGGATAGTTCCATCAGTAGTAGTTAGCTATGGTAGCTAATAGAACATCCACTACATCCTTAATGCCAAGCTTGTGGACTTCCCAGAAGTATTTGGTCAGCCATGGTGGGAAACACGTTGCTGAGCTAACAGGTCTATGATCTGATCTAACAGAGTTCTACTTATTTTCACCGTTGGTTAAATATTTAGGGTGAAATGTATACAGACTTACTGAAAAAGACTTACCATGCTCCCTAATTCCACCATTGTCTGATGTCTTCAGCCTAGCGTAATGTAGCTCAGTGTCAGAGTACATGTTTCTCATACAGAACATCTTCATTGTATCTTCAGTTACAAGAAACAAGTAGCTGTGTACATGCAAGAAGTCTGCCTGAGACTCTGGGAAACTGTTGCCATTCAGAGTCCTTGATACATATACTAACTTGGAATAACACAGCTTCCTGTGTACCTCTGCTTTGTCATTTTACATTCATCCCATGGTCTTCAGCCTACCCTTCTGTTGTTCTGTATAGTTCCTGAAAGCTATGCTCCACTGAGACAGGCAAACTTCTCAGTGACCCCCAGGGCAAGTGGCCAGCATTTCACATTTATTGTTGTAAGACACTGTGCTTTTTATACAGGCCTACTGACACCTATTATTTGGTTTTGTCCCCATAGGTTATAGCTGTGTTGGCATTGTATTCCAGATTTTACAGTGAGCATTTCATTGTCATTTACAGCCCCTGAGTTAGAAATGTGTTCAGAGTGCTTGTGCTCCCTGCTTTCTTGAACTGGTGCTTGGTATTCACTTTGTTGGTTGCTACCAGTCCTCAGGAGAGCTCACATCCACCAATTAGATCTAAACTGCAGGATTCTGGCCAGATTCTTTCCTAGCTGGACAGTAAAGTATTTGGTGAAGAAGTGATGATCATTTGAATGCAATTTCAGGGCTTAACTCCCTTCCCCCCTCGATGTCACCTTCTTTCCTTACTATTGTGTTTATTCACTTGCCAGTCTTTTCATGTTAAAATATTTAAATAATATTAGGAAAGTGGATATATGGGAGCCTTCCATGTGTTTTGAAAGTGTCACAAATTCTCACACCTATTCATTTACTCGTCTATAAAATTGCTGGTTTGGGCTTCTTTATTAATGCAAATAAAAAAACCCCATTCCTTTTATATGAATGTGGTAGACTGTTTGTGTGATATGCAGTCAATTCAATGCTATGGAGGACCTTTTCTCAGAAAAACAGCACCTAAAAATACATGTATATATTTTATAACCAGTGAAGCAAATGACGTTTGCACTCTCTTTTCACATTATAATGTAGCAAGAAAGTTTTACTCAGAAGCTATATTGCATTGCTATTTGCCAGTAATGAGACTGTTATCTCCCTAGTCAGGAGAACCCCATGCAAAAGCAGGTGAATGCAAGTCTACCGTTTCCATTGATATGACCTGAGCACACGTACTGATAGTAACAAAGCATCATATGGCTTTAAGTCATTTTAAAAATACGGGACATAGAAAGAGTGGGAACAACTTCTAAAGTACATTGAAGATGTGATGTTCCATCCTCTACCACCTTTTTGGCTCCAACTCCTATTCAGACAGGCCTCTTTTTTATTATTGTGGGTGGATGCTTGGCTAGAACTCCTTGGTTCACAGCAACCTTTTCTCTCTTTGAGATCCACCTCTCCATGACTACCTTAGGGGAGGGAGGTGATGTCTACTAATCACTCTTCAAACTCTTCTGCTTTTCTCCACTCTCTTTATATACTTACATAATTTCAGACTTCATAGCTAGCTTTTCATTGCTCTGCAACAGAACT